TCTTCATCACACACACTCTCTCTCTCACACACACACACACACACACACTCACACTCACACTCACACTCACACAGCTACACACACAAACACACACTCTCACACTTACACACACACACACACACTCACACACACACACACACACACTCACTATTGAGAGAGAGAGAGAGAGAGAGAGAGAGAGAGAGAGATCACTTCACCAGAACGCTTCGGTTACAGTGAATCCAGCGCGAGTCGACTCCAGCGAACCGAGTCGCGCACTCTCACGAGAGCCTTGCTATCCTCTGAAGCGATTATAATAAAGGTGACCAATTTCTAAACATTAATGAATTGAAAATAAATGCTAATTTTTACCAGTAAATCCTCCAGGAATGACACGCGCGTGTTGACCTGCGGACGGCGCCATCTTTATTTACCGTTTACAAGCGTCACCGGAAACAGACGCAATGGCTTATGGGAACTGTAGTTCTTCCACTGACGGTTTCTCCACACGAGTAAAAAATCAAGAATCGAGCAATATCTGAACATTTTGTAATCAGAAGAGTATCTTATTCACATTTTCTATGTAATAAAAGCGAATGTGGCTGTTAAGAACTAAAATGCAAATAACTAAACAAAACCACTTGTGTTTTATTCCAAGTCTTAACAGATTGTCAGTATATAGTCACTGGAAATCTTCATATTTGATTTAGGCCTCATGAGCATCTCTTGTTGGTCTTTTACTTTAATATGTGTTTGTGATGTTTTTGAGTCTCTTCTGCTCACCAAAACTGCATTTATTTCTCAAAACCACAGTAAAAAGCATGAATTATTAGAATGTAAAACAGTTGTTTTCTATGTGAATATCTGTTAAACTGTAATGTATTTCTGTGATGCGCAGCTGTATTTTCAGCATCATTACTCCAGTCTTCAGTGTCACATGATCTTCAGAAATCATTCTAATATGCTGCTTTGCTGCTCAAGAAACATTTCTGATTATTATCAATGTTCAACACAGTCGTGCCGCTCAATATTTTTGTGGAAACTGATGCATTTTATTTTTTCAGGATTCACAGATGAATAGAAAGTTCATAAGAACAGCATTTATTTGAAATACAAATCTTAATTATTTTACTGTCACTTTTCATCAGTTTAATGCATGTTTCAGTTTCTTTATTATTTTACTGTCACTTTTCATCAGTTTAATGCATCAGTTTCAAGCCTGTGAATGATAGTGTAAATGTAAACGTAAACAAAAAGAAGGAATGCGAGGAATAACGAGAGACACACACAGCTGATTATAAAGCAAGATCTTTACTGAAGAAAAGAGAAGAGGCGTTAAAAGCGAAGCGGGAGCTGTGTGAACGTGAGGAGCTCCGCTCGTAGAAACAGGCGTCAGATCTTGATGCGGAAGGCGGTGGAGTGAGGGCCGCTCGTCTCTGCTCCGCTGGAGCCGCTCTGACCGGACGATTTGAACAGAGCCTTCAGGATGGTCTGAGGATCCACCTCCGGCCCTGAAGACGTCTTGGAGCCCGAGCGAGACGACGAGTCCTTCTGCGCTGGAGCCGCTGCGCCGGGCGAGTCGCTCAGCCTCCTGACACACAGAGAGAGAGAGAGAGAGAGAGAGAGAGAGAGAGAGTCACCTTCATCACCACCACCACCATCATCATCATCATCATCATCACACTGATGGAGGAGCGGCTCACAGGAGGATGGGCTGCTCTGATGTGATCACGCTGCCCTGCATGTGCAGGTTACACTTCATCGGCTGACCTGAAACACACACACAGAGAGAGAGATCAGTGTATCTGATGCAGGCAGAGGTGAACAGTAATCAAGCACATTTACTTGAGTGTTGTTCTTGTGAAGGCGAGTGTGTGAGTCTCACCGTCCAGGCAGCGGTTGTTGTACTTCCTGTAAGCACTGACTGCATCCTGCTTACGCACAAACACCACCTCAGCCACGCCAGCCTTCACCAGCCGCGCCCGCTTCAGCGCACCGCACACACAGAACAGCTCCTGCACACACACACACACACAGATTAAACACACACACACAGTCAGATGAGCGAGTGTGTGACGAGCTGCAGGCCTGAACTCACCATTATATCCTCCTCAGTCACTCGAGGGTGAAGGTTGTTGACCGTGATCTTTGTGCCCTCCAGAGGACTGAAGACAGGCTGATAAACACACACACACAGAGAGAGAGAGAGAGAGAGAGATTAGCTGTACGTTACAGTGTGTGTACCTGTGCAGGTGAGTGTGTGTGTGTGTGTACCTGTGCAGGTGTGTGAGTTACAGTGTGTGTACCTGTGCAGGTGAGTGTGTGTGTGTGTACCTGTGCAGGTGTGTGAGTTACAGTGTGTGTACCTGTGCAGGTGAGTGTGTTACAGTGTGTGTACCTGTGCAGGTGCGTGCGTGTGTGTGTACCTGTGCAGGTGAGTGTGTTACAGTGTGTGTACCTGTGCAGGTGTGCGTGTGTGTACCTGTGCATGTGTGAGCGTGTGTGTACCTGTGCAGGTGTGGGCGTGTGTGTACCTGTGCAGGTGTGAGCGTGTGTGTACCTGTGCAGGTGTGAGCAGGTGTGTGCGTGTGTGTGTGTGTGTGTGTGTACCTGTGCAGCTGTATGTGTGTGTGTACCTG